CAGCCTCCACCTTCTCCAGCTTACCTTGGTCTTCACATATATCTTCAGAGCTAGTCTAGAAGTGACTTTCCTTTTGGAGGTAGGGAGGTGGACTTTAGCTAAATGGCTATTTGCCTCATTGAATAGTATATAAGCTCAGCCCATAGAGTCTGGTTCCTCAGAAACCATATATTTTGCCAAGTACTGGAAAAAGGCCATATCCATGACTACATTCTTTCATGAAGAATATCATAATTGCTGAAAATTCCACTAGGCCATTTAATTTTTTCATTTGCCTACCCAGTTCTGAATTTTTTATTAATTAAATCCCTTTTGCAAAAGGTTCAGATCTTTGTACCTCATCTTATATCCAAATCAGATTCCATTAGGCTGATATCTGGACTCCAGCCTATTATGTTCTTAGGCCAAAAATTATAACCTGCTGTTTCTCAGCAAAGCCTGGCTCTCTGTGGAGCCGATCCTGACAGAGCTATTGCTATAGTGAAGAGACCCATTCCAAATGAAAAAGGAGCCACACTGGGCTTCTAGGTTAGGTTGCCAGTGTTGCTGCCCATGGTGAGGTATGTGCCTCTGAGTTTCAGATGACTTTTCCTTTCTGTCTGTGTCATCAACCTTTTAAGAAGAAAAGGAGGCCCAGGCCTCCTGAGTATTGAGGTTCTAGTTTAGTGTTGGAATTTGATTATTATTCCCTCTATCCTTGGAATCAGAAAAAAAAATGTGTCTTCTTTCCTCAAGCTCTCACCTTAGATGCATCCTAGGTATCTGGAAGCATGGGAAAGAAGACTGATTTTCTCTTTGTATGTGTCCCTGGTTTGTGGGGATACTTACATTTTCCCTGGGATGAATTTCTGCTAGTTTTCAAGGTCTTTTTTTGCCTTCTAAATGGAAATATTGTTTTCTTTTTCTTAATTTCTCGTAAGGGAAAAAAAAAAGGCATCTGGTCTACCTTCCCTCTGCCCCCTTACCTTCTCATTTCTACACCCCCCCCACCCCACCCTCCACACACACGTGAGCACAGCTCCCCATGGCCACACACTCCTGCAATGCCTTTTTGCTGCTTGGCTTTTCTCTGAACAGATCTGAAATTGCTGCTCCTGTGGTTTTCTCAAAATTAACTTTGTCACGGTTTAAAAAAAGAAATCAAAATGCATTGTTGCATTAACTTTTTTTAAAATATGAAAATTATGGAAAGAAAATAGGCAACACCAGCAAATTATATGTGGACAAGTTTTAAACTATATACATACATATCTATATATAAAAATAATCCTCTAGTTCTCATTGTCACCTTACTGAAAGGAAATAAAACTTCTAAGGATCACTATTTCTGAGAGGTTCTTGGAAATCTTTATGTCTAAGTGATTGTATTAGATCAGCAATAATGAATATGTAATCTCAAAAGATAAATAAAATATTCTTAAAATGGATTCCTGTCTTGAGAGTGTGTTCCTTGCTTCTGTGACCCAGGAATTCAGAGAGAAGAGGTTTCTGGGCAACAGGCCAGAGAATGAGCCCACTGTAGAGCAAGGATGTGAAAAGCTGAAGCAGTTACCAAAGGACACATTCGAGTGGCCTTAGCCTTGTAAGAGACCCTTATTCCATTGAGGGCCATTCCACTAATAAATACCCCCCGACACCCTGTTATGTGTACAAAGAACCTGCTTCCTCAGAACCACCACCCTGGGGAGTTGACCAGTGTAGGCTTAAGGCAGAGAAACTAAAGCCTGGTTGTAGATTCCACAAGCCCTCCGTGTGCTACCATTAGCTAGAGAGCAGAGAAGCTAGCATCCCATGGTTTGAGACCAAAGGACTTTGACACCATCCACCCCAAAGGAAGAAGGACATGAATCTAGCATAGATTTGACTCTAAGTCAAGTTTTGCCCGACTAAATCAGTAACCAGAGGATGAATCTAACTGCCTGTTCTTTTTCAGCTACCAGTGGAGTAGCCATCTTTGAGTAGCTTTCTGATAGCCAGCTACTTTAGTTGACAGCCTTAACTAGTTCTGCATCCTGTATGCAAGATGTTTTCTCATTACCCCCGCATGTGCCCTTGATGGGGAGAGGAGGATGTTCTATCCTTTTTTTACTACTTTATTCTGGCTGTCTGATACCCTCAAAAACTAGGTATTTTAAGGCTTTCAGAATCTTATTTTTAAGCTTTCTCAGTGCCAGGTGTTATCTATTTAATCACATCTGACCTCCGTGGATTAGAGGAGAGTGCTTCTATGGGGGAAGCGGTATGTTTGGTCCTTATAATACACCTATTTATACCTCCAGTCCTCTGTCAGCAGCCTCAGGAAACCTGAGTTTTGGGACAAGGGAAAGTGGCGGTGTAGGTTTAAAAATAACTCAGCGCTGGAGCCATCTCTGCAAGATGGAAAGACTTGTAAACCAGCCCCTAATTAGCCCCTAGGTGTATTTATGGGTACCTCTGTGGTCAATGATATTGACAGCTGTCACGTCTTTGCTGAAAAATAAGCTAAAAGAAATTGAGCGTATGCCAATTCTACGGCCTATAGTTGCAAAGTTTTCAGTTAACCTGTGCTTTCTTGTTACTACTTCTAAGAGTTGTTTCCAAGTGTCTTACTCCTTTATGACAAGATCTAAAAGTCTAGGCCTATAATGATCAGATAAATGTCTGATCTTTACTGTCTCCCATTCCACTGGGTGTGGAAAAGATAATGGATTGAAGTTTCTCCTCATGTTGACTCTTTGCAATCTCCATAGCACATTTTTTCAAACTCCTTCTCTGAAAGTGAAGCCAGATGGAGCTCTAGGCTCAGGAAACAGCCTTATGTAGAGGCCAGAGGGGACTTTGTGAGCTGTTTTTAATCATGTACCCTTTGTCCTAGGGGTAGGCTGGAAAAGGAACAAAGCTTCAAAAGTGGCCACTCCTGTCTGCCACCACTGTTGGGGATCCTGCTGATTGACTAGGCTTACAAGGGAACATGAAGTTCTGGGCCTGTCAATCCTAGAGCTCTGACTGCTTAGGTGAAGAGATACTGGGAAAGGGAAGGTAGAATAAATCTTTTATTAAGAAACCCCAAGGGGCTGTGCTGTGGCAGGTTCACCACACTGAAGCAGTGATGAGCTAAGCGTAGGCTGTGAATTTTAAAGCAGCGTGTGAATCTTAAGAGTTTAACAAATTATACCTTGAAATGAATTCTAAAATCAAATAATTTAGGCCTTGAGACAGAGACTCTTCTTGAAAATTCGTATCAATTCAATTCTGTTAAACCAGTGGGTCTCAACCACAGAAGATTTTGCCCCTCTGAGGTCATTTTGCAATGTCTGGAGACATTTTTGGTGTCACATCTAAGGGGAGGGTACTATTGGCATCTAGTGAGGAGAGGCCAGGGATTTTGCTAAACATCCCACGATGCAAGGGACAGTCCCCCACAACAAATACTTTTTCAGTCAATAGTGGAGAAACCCTGTGTTAAACATACATAAATGAGGTGTACAAAAATCAACAAAGCTTGGCCCTGCTATCAAGGAGCTGATATCCAGATTGGAGGTGGGGTGGGGAGAGGAAAGGGGAAATGGTGGGAGGGTACAATAAGGAGACGTTGGGGCCCTTGGAGAGAAAGAAACTCAGAAAGCTCCAAGGAGCGCTTGCTCTAAACTCTGCCTTGATCTGTCACTTACTGATTAGCAGAGGAAAGTGAGAGATAGTTAAGAAAGGGAAGGAGCTGTCCCTAAGATATAACAAGGGGGAGTAATTCTTTTGGGCTCTTTACTTTGGGGATATAGTGGAAAATAAAGGGATTTGGGGTCCAGGCAGTCTTGACTTGACACCAACACAGCCTGAGTGGGTTATGGAGGGTCCAAAGGAAGGCTTTATGCAGCAGGAGGTGAGGACTAAATAGAATCTTAAGGAAGAATATGTTAGCCAAGAGAATAACAGTTTCATTCAGAGAGAAAGAACAGCACATAGAGAAGAGACAAGATAGACTGAGACAAGATAGACTATGATACCTTGAGAAAAGCAAGAAGCATTTAGTCTCTGTCAGTCCCAGTTTCCTCATCAGTAATATTCCATCAGTGAACCTGTCAGAGAGGTGTGATGTGATATCTAGAAAGTGCCTGGTGCAATGCCAGGAACAAAGTAGCCATTCGACATCCCCCAATTCCAACCATTTGGTCTCACCCATTCCCCTCAGGCTGCTTGTTTAGGGCCACTGTTACTAACTCAGACTGCCTAAAATGTACCGCTTTTTAGATAAATTCCATAGTGGGCAGGACACAGAGCTCGGTATGCCCCAGGTAACACCGAGCCCTTAGGATCTTAGAAGAATGAAGGAAAGGGTTGGGGAGCAGGAGGGGATGGGGGCTTGCTCTCCATTCGACATTTACTCCCATGTTCACACCCGAGGAAGGTGCCCTACTTCAGCAGAGAAAAGCAGATGACCAGGAGCAACCCTAAAAGGAACCAGCAATTTCGGTGAAGTAAAAATGCCCCACCCCATCCCTCGACCCTCAGTTTCCCTGCCAAGCCTCACTCCTAGAGGGATGAGATTTCTACAGAAATCTGAGCTTCCGGAGAGGGCGAGTCCCTCGTTTCCTGCGGTGGCGGTACCATCCCTCCCCTGCAACAGAAGCGGGATTTGGAACGTATGCAAGAGCCAGGATTTGAGGGCAGAGGGTCTGTGGTAATGGGAAAAAGGAGACTGCAGTGGAGCAGGAGGCGGAGACTAGAGCTCCCGAAAAGGTCGTTATTTGGGAGGGGTTGAGTGCAGAGGGATGCTGAATGAGATGCAAAGGCCCAGAATTCGGAAAGTGAAGCTGGGAGCCAACCCAGGAGTCTACCGCTGCCAGCGACACGGCAGGACAGAAAAAAAAGACAAGGAAAAAAAATCCCTTGAATGAGCCCCCACCTCCTCCCAGTCCCGCTCTGAGCGGTAGAACAGCCAATTGCGCCGCGGGGCGGGGCCGGGGGAGGCGACTGCAGCCAATAGCTGTGGAGGGGGCGGGGCCTGGCTCGCGGCGCGAGGCGGCAGGGTGGCCTGGAGCAGAGATCGCTGAGCCTCTGAGGGAGGCCGCTGACCGGAGCCGCATGGAGGACTCCGCGGCCCCGGGGGCCGGGAGCCCGCCCGCCAATGGCAACGGCAATGGCAACGGCAACGGCGGCGGCAAAGGGAAGCAGGCAGCGCCTAAGGGCCGGGAAGCATTCAGAAGCCAGCGGCGGGAGTCGGAGGTGAGGAGCCGGGAAAGCTTCAGTTGGGGCCGGGAGGTGCCCGCAGGCTGGAAGCGATGGCTGAGGTGATTCGGCCCCGTCCTCCTCCCCAGCCCGGACCCCCCGGCGTGCCCCGGGCCGCCCCTTGGAGCTGGAGCCTGCGGAGTCCGCCGCAGTCTGGACACTGGGCGCTGCATTCCCTGACCCCTCTCCGCCCGTCTCCCGCCGCGGGTCTGGGGCTTTGTAGCCCTCTGGCCTTCGCTCCGGAGGCGCAAGATGTAGCACGATATCAAGCGTACCAGATACTTTTCAAATATTCATCTCACTAATCGCTGCAGCCCCTTGAAGTGGGATTTCGTATCTTCGATTTACAGAGGAGCAAAGAGTCGCGGGGAGGTTGAGTGACTGGCCTGAGGGGTGGGAGGCCAGAGCTCCGCTGCAGTAAAGAGGGGGCAGCTGTCTTCAACCTAAGGCTCCCCCGAGCCCATCCAGCTGTGCCATGTGCCTTCTGCCCTTCCCTTTCCCCCGCGAGTGCTGGCAGGCCCTTTAGGGAGTTCCTTCCACCACCTTCAGGACCGCTACCTGGAAGGGTTAATGAGACAGGATTCAGGCGGGGGCAGGACTGGAGTGAGTGGATGGAACTGGACCAGGTTACAGACCCACAGATAGGATTATCTTCACTTCCCCACCCCCTCATCCAGCCAGTCTCCATCAACTAGCCCAGAGTGGAATTGGATCTGAGCCGGGACCAGGAGAATAGACTACAAAATGTCAAGTGTGGAAGGGTGTGTAGAGACCATCTGGGTTTAGCTCTTTCTTTTGTATAAGTAAAAGAGACAGAAGTAACTTGCCCAAGAACGTACATCTGGCGTAGTGGCCAGGAGCACCGAGCTTTGGAATCAGCCAGACCAGGTTTTGAATCTCAGTCCTACCGTTTACTCTCTGTGTGACATTTGGCAAAGTGCCAAACCTCTAGGAGCTCCAGTTTCTTCATCTTAAAATGAGGTTAATACTGTCTACTTCAGAAGGTTGTGATAAAGTCAAAGTGAGATAATTGAATGTAAAATGTTTAATTCAGTGCAGGCACAGTGCACGTAATGGGTCAGTTCAGAGTAGCTCTTAGTACTGTGTTATCAGCAGCAGCAAGGGACAGACGTGGTATTAGAGGCCAGGTCTTTGAGTGTCCCAGTCTATGGTTTAACATTTAAATAGTATTTCACAGTTTCCCGAAGGATTTCATATATGCTTTCCATTTTGATACAGATGAGTAGGAATCCATCCCATTTTTAAAAAGAGAAGTGGAGGAGGTGAAAAGACTGGCCCCAAATCACACCAGCTTTCGGAGGCATAGCTCAGCCTTGCTGCCTTGCTGGATCAGGCAGGGTTCTATCCACATCTTCTCCCTCCCTGCCTCAGTATGAATCTGGCCTTTTAAGGCACCCTATGCCTCCTTCCCCCGTAGAGACATGTTCTTGCTCAAGTGGTTTTTTTGGGGGATGAGGTGGGGGCGAGGGATGAGTCATTCATTAATTCAACAATTATTGAGAACTTTATATATGCCCAGCACTGTTTTAGGTGTTAGGGATACAGTGGTGAACTAGATAAGGTCTTTGACTTGTGGAGTTAACATTCTAGTGGGGGTGGAGAGACAGACGATATGTGAGTAAATAAAACAGTTTCAGGATGATATGTTCTATGGGGGAATTAATACTCCTGAAGTCGGACACTTTGTCCCTACCTACCAAGTCTTCCTTTAGGAAAAGGCTCTGATAATACTCTACCTTTGCTTGTGAGTTCAGTATCCAGAGACTCAGAGCTTTCCACCTGCACTGCAGTTTACTTCCTGGTTGTCTGCAGCTACACTTTTTATGCTAGGAAATGAACAACTGCAGTGATCCTCTCTATCTGGGCTCATTGCCTGCTAACAGGCTGGCTGGAAAGATTAGCTTTCCTCCACCTTCCACTGCAGCAGGAGAGCTGCTTCTACCTGTCAGTACACCCCCTATCACCACAACACCCAGGTGCCAGATTCAGATGACTATATACTTTTCCTTCCCTCCCTTTTGCTTTCCTGTGGAAGATAGTACTAGGGGATGGGGATGGTTTTCTTTCTCCTCTAGGGCTTTTAAAGAATTGCTGTTGGCACAAGTCAATAGAGCCTCCTTGTATGTCACTGTTTATAGGGGCATACTATTGACCTACCTTCTCCCAGTGACTGAACTTCCCTACCTAAAAAGGAAGCTAAAGAATAATTATTTGCTTAATAAAAAGATTCTTACCTACCAAAGGATTCACCTCAGGCCTTTTCCAACCAGATCCCCTGTTTTAATTGGTTCCCAAAGTCCTTAACAAAGTTTGTGGTAAAACAAGGCAAATTCAGGGCATTGTAGTGAGTTTTTCATAAAATATAGTTTAATAGATTAAATTTAAAGGATGTAGGCAACTTAAAACAGAATTTTTCAAACTGTAGGGGATAACCTGTGAGTTGAAACCAACATTTTTTAAAGAAATAGAATAATAGAAAACATTAGTACATCACATATAGTAACGGTAAAGATATTAAACTTTTGTTCCAGTGTGTGTGTGTGTTGAGATATGATGTAAAATTTATTTATACTTTGATTTACAGTCAGAAATTTGAAAACACTGCTTTTAATGACTCTTTTATTATGATAATATGTCCTTCCCATTTGGGAGGACTGTTCTTTATTTTTTGAAATACATTTTTAAAAAGGTGTTAAGTCTCTACTTATTGGAATCAACATCAGCAACCTTATGTCATTCTCCACCCTCCACTTTTTTTTCTTATCATCTCTGTAATCCAGAAGTTTGGAAATTCTTGCTATAGTGAATTTAAACATGATTTGCCTTGTTGGCAGTGTAAATTGATAAACTGGTTTTGGAAAACAACTTGTCGTGTATAAAGAGCCATACAAATATTTATAAAGTTTAATATATTACTCTCCTTTATAAGAATTTATCCTTAATAAAGATCCTAAATATGAAAAAAATTAAGTTTATCACAGCTTCATACATATAACAAAGAAAAATTAAAAACAAAGGTTCAATAGTAGAGAACTGGTTAGGTAAACCAATAGATATATGTTCCCTTAACTGTTTAAAGTGATAGTCATAATAACGTGAGAAAAATGACTTTACAATATAATATTAAAATTGTAAGTAGAGTAAGTAAAATTCTAAGTAGAGTAACCACCTACATAGCTCTACCAAGTGTTGGGTGATGTGCTAAGTGTTTTTCCTATATTAACTCATTTAGTCCTTACAATGTCGCTATGAATTATCCTGATTTTACAGATTAGAAAACTGGCCATGTCATTTTCTAATAATTCCCAGACACCAGTTCAATTCAATTCAATTCAATTCAATTCTGACACTATGTGTAGTTAGCTCAGTCCCCACAAGTTAAGGGCTCAGTCCCACAAGACTGCCCCCACTTCAGACACCTGCCACAAGTGGGGTTCTCAGGCTACCTGCTCTCCCTCCTGGTCAGTGACAAATTCAGGGGTTACCATGACACCCTTTCTAGGTTTGATAATTCACTAGAAAGACTCACAGAACTCAGAATAGCACTATGCTTATGATTACAGTTTTATTATCAAGGATACAACTCAAGAACAACCAAATGAAGAGGGGCATAGTACAAGGTATGGAGCTGGGGTGGTGTAGAGCCCCCATGCTTTCTCAGGGGCCTCGCCCTCCTAGCACATAGGTATGCCCAAATCTCATTGTTTCAGGGTTTTTATATGAAGTTTCATTACCTAGGCATGGTTGTTTAAACCACTGGCCACATGATTGAGCTCAATCTCCAGCCTCCTTCCCTATTTGGAGGTGGGGCCAGTCCCTCCTTTGAAACTCTCTATGGGCTCACCTTGAGTCACCTCATTAGGGGAACTCAAATACAGTTGACAGGGCTCCTTATGAATAACAGACACTCCTATTACTCAGGAAATTCCAAAGTTTAGTTCTGTGTCAGGAACCAGGGCAAAGATCAAATATATTTTTTTATACCACACTGAAGCACAGAGAGATTAAGTAACTTGTTCAAGTTCACACAATATTGACAGAATATGCCACAGAGCTGAGATTCAAAATTTTAAAAACTCATATATATACCCCCAAATGCTAAAGAGGTTAGGGCATTAAAAAAAATTTTTTTAATGAGATTCTAAATTTGTACATACATCATAGGAAAATCTAGCCTTTAAGACAACTTGAAGTAGAAATGCTGTCTTATTTGACAGTCCTAAAGTTGTGGAACATTAGGGCTGAAGAGCCTATTTTTACAGGTGAGGAACTATGGTCCACAGAAAGATTTGCCCAAAATCATACAGTGGGATAATGACAGAGATGAAGTTAGAATCCAGTTCACCTCTTTTGTTTTTGTCCAAAAAAATTTTCTAGATATCCTAGATATCCTAGATATCCTAGACCAGATGCTCTTCTGGTCTGTGTTCATGTAGTTCATGTAGAATTTATATCTGTTCACAATCGTGGCCCTTTACCAGGAGTTTCTGATTCTACATAGAAATTTTCAGCCCCACCCTGCACTGAGCCTCAAATTTTTGCTTGTAGGAGGTTACCTCTTCAATGAAAGGTACAGATAAGACTCTCCTAGCTGCTTCCCTGATCTAACCTTGGCCTCCAAGAGAGGAAGATGACATGAAGGTATAATCTCCTTTTGTCAACCCTTTCTCCAAGTTACTGCAAAGATTTCTCCATTACAGAGTTCTGTGGACTGCCCCACCCTGGAGTTTGAGTATGGAGACGCAGATGGGCATGCGGCAGAGTTGTCAGGTATGAGGTAGATGGGTCTGTGGAGAGTGGAAGAGTGACCAGGGGGGAGAGGGAAGGGACTTGTCATCTCCTCTGGCAGCTTGTCTGTTCTCAACAAGTGGCTATAGAACAAAGGCTGTTCTCCACATTCTCTCTTCTTTCCACCCTCCAGTGGTAAATATCTTCATTCACTTCCACACATTTTCTGTGAATTCTCCCTGGCTTTGGTATTCTCCATTCTTTCATTCTATCGCTTTTTTCTGCTCGCCTTTCTTTATTCTCTTCTGGTGCACTCTCAAATATGTTTTCTCTCCCCACCTTCTCCCATTTCTCCTTTCTTTCTCTTCTCAGACTCACCCATATCTTTGCATACCCCCTTCTTTCTGCCATCCTCTCTTCTATCGTACTCCATCTCTCCTTTTCTCTTCTATTCCCATCTCGCACTCTTCCCCTAATACCTGTTCCTTAAAATATCTCAGCAATGTCTGAAGAAAAACTCTATTGACAACTGGCCAGATGAGCAGGGCTGGAAATGTCACCTATATCTATCATAGTGGAGCACTGCTGGGAGGTTTCTGAGCTGGAGTTAAGATCCCATTCTTTCATGCTGGGCTTCTTCTCTCTTTCTGGGTTTTTAGCTTAGGCTAAATGTGATCTCCACACTAGGGGCTTCCATGTTACACGTGCTGTGATGCCAGTTATTAATAAATGAGCTTTTGGGTGGAGATGGTGTGAAAATTAAATATTCTGTCACATGGAAGCGACACTTTGAGACATGCTTTTTCAAAGAAAAGAGACAAATGTTTTTAAAGAATTTCTTGTGACTAAGCACAGGGAATAAATTTTGTGGTGACAGAAATAGAGAGCTAGTTTAATAACCAATAAAGGATTAAAATCCAGAATGTGTGTGTGTGTGTGTGTGTGTGTGCAGGGAGGAGAGAAAGAGAGAGAAAGAAGAGAAGAGAGAAGAAGAGGAACAACCCAATACAGAAGTCGTCAAAAGAGAAGTGGTCAAAGAATATGAATAGGAATATGTAGAATAGAAAATTGTATGGTCAATAAATATATAAGGAAGATGTTCAACGCTATTAGTAAATGAGGAAAAGCAAATTAAAATAATGAGATATTTCACATTCATTAGATCACAAAACTTAAAAGCTTGGAGTTGGTGAGAATGCAGAGAAATTAGTACTTTTATATACTGCTCGGTATGAGGGAGCAGAGTATAAAATTGGAAAGCAGTTTGGTCATATCTAGCAAAGTTGAAGATGCACACATATTCTGATACCGCAATTCTGGATGTACACTTTAAAAAAACACTTGGGCGCAAGAAAACGTACAAGAAAACACGTACAAGATGTTTATTGCAGCCATTGTGAAAAATTGAAAACAAACTGTAGAGTACCAATATATAGCCAAAACAATTGATCTATATCAATGTATTTCATAATCAATGATGTTAAAAACAATGTTGAGAGGGAAAGAAGCAGGGACCAAATAATATATATATCCATCAATTGCTTAAACATATGAGTCTAAAAGATGCTTCTAGGAAGTCTAGTTGCACACTTGATTGAGAGCAGTGTCAATTAAGTAAATGGATGTGTTTAGCACACTGTTTTTCTTGTAAAAAACTATTTAAAGATATAATAAAAATGTTTCTAAGAAAAAATAATTTATGTAATGTGATACTGCTTGGATAAAAACATTTTAAGCAGAACGATGTCATATGTTGTTTACAGGCACATACATATGTAATAAAAGAATAAAAATAGGCAGATGACACATACACACCAATTTCATTATAGTGGTTACCTCTAGAGAGGGGATAGGATAGACTGGAGAGGAAGAGGGAATTTTAGATATCAAACAAGTATGACAAGTGTTAATATTTGTTTAATCTGAGTAGAAGATATGGATGTCT